AAAAAAAAAAAAAAAAGATTATGGGGCTGTTCTCTTTTGTTGCTGTGAAGATGTCTCATGGTATGTAAAGCAAAAACAAAGTGTCCCAAGCTACTTTTATATCAAGCCCAGAACCCCAATATCATAAGTATATCTACTTTTTCTTTAAGGAGATGCTTTTCTGTATTCTGGTTTTCTGCAATGAGTATTTCTTTCATATTCAAACAGAAAAAGTAAAAAAATGGAGTAGTGTGAACCCAAGTTTAAGCCAATCATTTTTTTCTTCATTTTAAAAAATACCAATTTTAATGTGTTATTATATTCATGAGAATTAGATATTTTAACAGTTAAGCCAGTCATTTTTTGATAAACGATTATCGGTTTGGAGAAGTCATATGGGAAGATAGGCCAAAAATAAACTGAAGGGAAGTTATTTTATTAAATAGTTTGGGAAGACATATTATCTCCATGACCAGTTAAAACTGAGAATGTATATAGCCCAACTAGCAGCTATCCTATCCAATAAGAGAAACTAGAATCTAGATAAAGCTGTCGATAGCACTGTGGACTGTGATGCAAAGAGATGGGGAAAAAAATCCAGGTACTTACTTGTACTGTTGAACCATCTGGTGACAAACGCTTAAATCTGAAGTGAGCTAATACATTTCTTTATTCTTTTAGTCAATTTAAATTGAGTTTTCTATTTCCTACAATTAAAATCATTCTGGTAATTAAATCCACTGTCAAAGTGCCTCCAGAAAGACTGCACAAATTTATGCTTCTAAGATAATGAACAAGAACAAGTACTTCAGCTCAACATAATTTGACAAGAAGTCTTTACCCTTTATCACTATCTTTAATTTTATTCAGTCATGCGGGGCCAGTGGCACAATGAATAATTTTATTCAGTCTTTAAGAAGTCGAAAAATATTAATATTCTATTCCTTCAAATCTCACCTTTTTTTCAAGAAGAATAAGTTTGAACAGAATTAAGACCTGAAGAAGAAAAAAAAAATTATTAAAATGAGAAACTCAATTACATTATTTATTTGCCTTTACCGCCAACACACTCATGTATCATTTAATCAATATTAAATAATTATAGTTCTTTAACAGGACAGTGAAAGTGATGAACTTACACTGAGAAATCAAATACTTAAGTCCTCTAAAAGGTATAAGAACCACTTAAATCTCTTATAAATTATGTTTTCTGGAAGGAGTAAATTCAGTTTTGTTCGAAATATTTACAAACTCCTTAAGGAAAAGCTGAAACTAGTCATTAATTTCTGGATGTGTGGGCATTCACAAAGATACTAACTAATATCTGTTAAATGCATGATCAACATATGTAAGACCTGTCAACATATTCTTTAATAATTGAGAGTAGAAGACCTAAGTGTAGATGTTTTCTAGAAATGTTCCCATTTTCAGGACAACATATAAAACATTGTGCAAGACTAAAACATGATTCTTTTCACTCTTATTTCATGCTATCTGAAATCGCAAAGATGACAGAGAAAAGGTTCCTGTTCTGCACAGAAATGTTAGTATCCTTTTAGAATTTTCTAACACATAAGCATTACCACCACTTTCAATATTGTATTGTCAGAGCTGTCTTAGAACCAAAACACAGTGATGCCACCATTTGCATTACACCACGTAGCACACGGAGTTTTCATAAATGAACACAAATTTAGGACATCATCAACTAAAATGAAGTATCATACCTTATGTCGAAAATGAAGCACAAGATCTCGAGGAGAGAGACCTATAGTGTTGACAAAAAAGTTAATCTATGATTATAAGTCACTGTTTTTGTCAAGGGAATTTTTTCCCCCTCTATAACAAAGGTTAAAAAAAAAAGGGAATATACAACTATCAAAATATTTATGCAATATTTAATGATGTACACGCATACTTAGAATTTAGGGCATCACTGTTTCTCTATTAACAGTCCAATAGAACTCTCTGCAATGATGTAAAACATTCTCAATCTGAGTTGCTAGATACCATGGTTACATGTGGTCACTGAACACTTGAAATGTGGCAACTGTTACTGTCAAACTGACAAAATTAAATTTTATTAATTCTACTCTAAATGTAAAAGTCACATATGGCTAGTGGCTATTACAGTCAGTGCAACACTAACACCTTCTCCCCATTCTACAAACATAAATTATACACGTTTAAAAATTACTAGGCCGATATTATAAGAGCAGTCAATCATTTAAACAAACCCTAGAAACATGACTGCAAAACTGAAGCTGCTATAGAGGGAGGAAGAAGAAAGGCGGGAACAATGTGTGGAAGGGCGCAATGGTCAATGGATGCTTTGGTGGTGGGTATGTGATGCATCTGAGGAGTGAACCTATTCCCCTCCATCATATACAGTGTATACAGTGCTGGAAATCAATGATCACTGAATATAAACAAGTAAGCAAAATTTAAAAAAAAAAAAAAAGTGCATGGTTTCAGTCATTACACTCCATATGCTATTATTTCTCAATTACAGTCTTTTCTGACCACCTGCCATAGGATGAGGAAAACATAATATAAAGAAAAACATGTTCACAGAATAGGATTTCTGTAACTAACTTACATTATATTACAAGGTTACATTACATTACAAGGTTGCAAAGTCAACTACCAGTTTGGTAACTTTGATTTATGGAAAGGAGCATAAATCACCATATGATAAGAGCTTCTTTTAATTAGGATATTCACTGAGTACCCTGAACAACAATGGATATTTTGGTAGTTAGGACAAAGCATTAATATAAGGAAAAGAAGACGTTTCCATTACTATTCCAAAGAAGACATTTACTTTGCACGACAGTGGTTGTAAATACTGGCTCAAGTATTATAATAATTCTTGCTATAAATACTAGCTAAGTAGTTATTTAAGGAAGAAGCAGCATCACATGTTGAAGAATGACGACCCCATACAGAAATGTCATTCTGATCATGATATTTTAATGCAATTCAATTTGCTAAACAAAAAGAAATGAGGGCACTTCTGACTTGCAAAAAAAAATGTTACTTACCAAGATACACTTGTGATCCTTCTAATGAAGTTCCTCCCAAGGAACTATTCATATGTTCATAAAGCTCCTAAAAAGTATATTCAGATTAGAGCACTTTGCTATAATTTTAGACAATGAATTAGAACTATAATAATCAAGAAAAAGCTGGATTCTTTAATTAAGCCAGTTTAGTCAGACTCTAAATTTAGAAACTGAGGTTTCTCTGAACTCCCACTTTTCAAAATTTCTTCCTCCTCTTCCTGTACATTTTAGATCTTGGCTCATAAACAGGTGATATAGATTCCTAAGACAAATTCCCTCTATATCCTTGCTAAATACCTAACTGTCTGCCTTACATTAAAATCCAGGAGAGAGCCATGTTCTATATGTTCATGGCAGCCTTGAAGAAACACCTTTACAAATGGTTGTCACTCTTGTTTTTTTGCTATGTTAATTAGGAACCAGAAGTCAGATATATACGCATCAACATAACATATAGTTTATTAACAAGATAAACAAATTTAGGGAAGCAATGCCATAGCAAAAGGTTTATTATCTATTCAGAGAAACAATGATCTTACAGTTACTTTCTGTATCTAATAAAAAAAACTTTGGTTAAATATAGTAAGTATAATTATACATAATTTGGGCATATCCCTAACCAAAACTATTATACTAAAAAAAAAAAAGAATATCTTTCTTAAATTGATAAGTAATTATCCTTTACAGAATTACTGGTTAAGATTTACTTGCTTCATATATCTGTTTCTACCTGACACATCTATTGAAGGGCATAAAGTTACCTTTAGAATGGAAATTTGGGAGAAATCCTTCTCTTCAAAGTATGCATGTGTAATGAGTTGAAGTTTTGCTTGAAGTAAGCCATAGAGAGGCTTAAAGGAAAAAAAAAAAAAAGAAAGAAATCGCCATTAGGCAATGGTAAAAAACATCCTATAACTTTTTAACTTGAAGAGAACAGGGAGAACAAGGTCACTATCAATATTAGTACCTTAACATTCATAACTGGAAGTCGTTGAGTAGCCTGTTCTAATTCTTTGGCCTAAGTTGTAAAGTGGCCTACATTCTCACAAATATAGTGATTGAAAGTGTGGGCTCAGACCTCCTGAGTCTGCTCTATCACTCAGCTATAAAACTCTGGGCACTTACCCTCTCCACATCTGCTAGCTGATGTGAACACAGGAATGTGAAAAGACAGCACTTTGTAAAAAAAAAATGAAGTAATACTGGTGTATAATACCTCTTCAGATACATGTCACACTCACCACCAGGGCACCCATAGCTATCTACCATAGTCCACTGGGCCCTCTCTATACTACTCTTACCCACCCTAACCCCCCCAATAGCTTCAATTTTAGTCATATTTCTAGGCTTTGCTACTTGTCTTGCTTGTTTTTCCATATTTCACCTGAGTGAAACCATTAGGTACTTGTCTTTGTCCTTCAGCCTTATTTCACTTAGCATAATCCCCTCTGGTTGAATTCATGTTTTTGCAAATGGCAAGAGATTATCTTTTTTAGTAGCCATATAATATTCTACCATGTATATCTACACTTTAACCACTAACAAAGAAAGTCTATTTTATGTGGTTGTCAGCATTAAAAAACAAGTAAAAACATTTGGTAGAGTATCAAGCACTTAGGAAGCAAATAAATGCTAGCTAACATTATAGTATGATTTAAAACTTAATTCTGCATTGTTCTGCTGGCTTGTGTTTAATAACATTTAGTCAACCTTATAGCAGTGTCTTCTTATATCTAACTGAACATTAATAGCTAAATGTAAGTTTACTTTTAGTGCTCTGTGGATGCTGAGAACAATCAGTGCTCTGTCATCTATCATAGTATTCTTTTGTATATTTGAATGAAGTTATTCCTTTTTTCTCTGATTTTAGAGTTTCTTCTAAAATTTCCATCTTTTTACTTTTAATGTGTTAGTAGTCTAGATGGTTTCTATGTCATTTTAAGTATGCAGAAACCAATACTGTATTAT